TGGGTAGCAAGACACTAGATGGCCACAAAAACCAGGCATAGTGACCCCTCCTCAAGGTCTAACCTGCACATTGCACCAGTGTCACATCTCTGCTGAAAACCCCTCAGCTGGAAATGCAGATGGCCAACAGGTTCATGAAAAGATGCTCAGCATCGCTAATCATTAGGGAAATACAAGTCTAAACCACAAGAGATATCGCCTCCCATCTGTCAGAATAGGTATCATCAAAAAGTCCACAATAACAAATGTTGCCAAGGGTGTAGAAAAAAAGGAACCCTTGTACACTGTTGACAGGAATGTAAATTGGTGCCGCTACTGTGAAAAACAGCATGAACGTTTCTCAAAAAGTTAAAAGTAGAACTACCGTATGACCCAGCAATTCTACTTCTGCATATCTATCCCCAAAAAACCAAAAACACTAATTTGAAAAGATACATGCACCCCAGTGTTCACGGCAGCATTATTTACAATTGCCAAGACATGGAAATATCTAAATGTCCATCAACAAATGAATAGTAACATATACATTATATATATATATATATATAATATATATTCACAAGGGACTACTACTCAGCCATTAAAAAAAAACAAAAATTTTGCCATTAGCATGGATGGACTTGGAGGGCACCGTGCTAAGTAAAATAAATCAAAGAAAAACAAGCACTCTATGATATCACTTGCATGTGGAATCTAAAAAATACAACAAACTAGTGAATAAAACAAAAAAGAAGCAGGTTCACAAATATAGAGAACAAACTAGTGGTTACTGGCAGGGGCAGGCAATATGGGGGTAGGGGAGCAGGAAGTACAAACTATCAAGTGTAAGACAGGCTCATGGATGTATTGTACAACACTGCAATACAGCCAACATTTTGTAAAGACTATAAATTGAAAATAACCTTTAAAATTGTATAAAAATAAAAACAAAACTGCAATCCAAAAATAAAAGCCTCTTAGTTGCTTACTAGTAAAATCTATACTCTTGCCTGACATTCAAGACACTATACAAATGGATCCTACCTGCTTCTTCACTTCCTAATATTCCTTTTCCATTGTTCCCATCTTATGACCTATGTCTCAACCAAAGGGAACTATCTGCAGTTTCCTAAACATTCTCTCACTCTGCCTTTATTCTGCTGCTGCTTCCACCCAGAATGTTCTTGCCCAACTCCTTCCGAGCCTAGCTCAAATGCTGCCTCCTCTATGAAGCTCACCATGACGGAAGTCATCCTCCTTCCTCTGACACCATTTTGTACCTACCTCTCTTAGGGATAGTATTACCAGCTTTTTTTTTAAATAAAAAAAAAAAAAAAGAACCATAAGGACCAGTCCAGCCTCAATACTGGCTCCAGTTGGGGAAATGTATACAGGGCTCACCACAAGTAGTATGGGCCCAGGTGAGTGCCCCATGCATTTTTTTCTTTTGTCCATGCCCAGCGGCTTGTGGGATCTTAGTTCCCCAACCAGGGATCAAACTTGTGCCCCCTGCAGTGGAAGCCTGGAGTCTTAACCATTAGACCACCAGGGAAGTCCTGGATATCCTGTACAATGACTTATGGGGACCATGTCTTTTATCTTGTCTACACAATTATCTGTTCCTGACTTCCTTAGGGCAGATTCTTATTTGATTTATTCTTGTAGCCTATAGACATCCAGCACAATGCTCTGTACAACTGGACATATTTGTGTATTTACTGACTTCCTGGGGTATAATTTAAATCAGTAAAATACACTGATTTTAAGTGTACTGTCTACTGAGTTTTACACCCAGGTAGCGCCCATCTCATAGAGATGGGGAACATTCCCATCAGACCAGTCAGCCCCTACCAAAAGCCTCTCCCTAACCAGTGTGGAACTACACATACTTCTGCTAGCCTAGATTTGTCTCTTCTTGACCTTCATCACAAATGGAATCACACCATATGTACTGTTCTATCTTCCTTCTTTCATTCAACATGTTTCTGAGATTTGTCCATGCTGCCACGTTAGGAACAGTCTCGTAAAGAACTCACTGATGGTGGGAATGGAACCCCTGCTTCCCTGGCCGTCACGCCAGCCCAGGTTTCCCCAAGTCAGTGGCGCTTGGACTTTCTAGGCTTACCTGCTGTCAGGCTGCTTAGAAACTACAGAACTCCCTTAAAGCCCTTTCCTGCTGGCACTTCTGCCACCTGCACGCTGCCTTGTGCCTTCCAGTCACTTTCAGCAAGGAGACGGCCCCTGACTGCTTTTCCCACCATCTCCCCCAAACTCCACTGCCCAGCTCCAAGGTTCTGGGCTCCCAGGGAGGGCCCCCATCTGTCAGGAGGAGACATCATCTCCACTCTTCCTTTGCTGTTTTTCTTGAGGCCTAGCTAGAAACACCTGTCCAGGGCCTCTGGCCCCATGTCCTACTGTGGCTCATGTCCACTCACCGCCAGGAGGCACGCGTGACTAGACCTGCCCAAGAGGGAGAGGCTGCGGCTCTGTGGCACTCTCTGCTGGCTACATCTTAAGGATTCTCAGGTGATCTCACCTGATGATGACGGACTGACTCCCACCTGCCCATGCACATGACACAAGGATGGTGGCCACCCTTCCTGGCTGACACAGTCACTCCATCTGGTTCTCAATGTGCGTCTGGGTGGACAAGCCCAGGTGCTGCCCCCTCCCATCGCAAGGCCCACCAAGGTCCTGTTCTCACACCTGTAACAACTCTGCCATCATTTAGGTCAGAACCACCACTTCATCATTGCAGGTGCCATAACAAATATACCACAGACGATGAGGCTGAGACCAGACACTCACTTCTCACAGCTCTGGGGGCTGGATGTCCAGGATCAAGGTCCGGCAGATCCAGTGTCACATGAGCTCTTGTCCTCATCTTCCCACTGAGCCCTCACCTAATGAAGAGCAGAGACAGGCAGCTAGTTCCCTCCTGCCTGTTTTTATAAGAGCACAAATCCAATCAGGAGGTCCTTGCTCTGACTTAATCACCCCCTCAAGGCCCCACTCCAAATAGCACCTCATTATCTCATTAGGGATTAGGGTTTCAACATGTGAATCTGGGTGGGGGGCCTCAAGTAGTCTGTAACACATACATTAACACAAAAAGTTGACAGTGCAGTGGCATTTGGCACTTTCTGAGATGCCATTTGCTGGGTATTCTTCCAGGATACTTGTAACTGATCGTGCAAAGACCCCCTTAGTATTGCAGACCTGTGAAGAAAGTAGTAGTATCCCTGTCTCATGGAACTAAGGCCCAGAGAGAACCGTGGCTGTACAGGGCACGGGTTCCCAACCTCCAGGCCAAGGACAGAACCTCCTGTCAGATCAGTGGTGGCATCAGATTAGAAATAAAGAGCAACAATAAATGTAAGGCACTTGAAACATCCCGAAACCACCCCACCCTACCCCTGGTCTGTGGAAAAACTACCTTCCACAAAATCAGCCCCTGGTGCCAAAAAAGTTTGGAGAGCACTGGTCTAGAGCATAAGCAGATCTCAGATTTAAACCCCGTCTGCCTGCTCCAGGATGGTCTCCTGCTGCTCTGTCACCCTGCCTTCCCGTCTGGCTCCTTGAAGGTGAAGTCAATGTCTCTGATCTCATATATCCCATCAATGTGCTTAGAGTGCTGACCACAGAGTCCTTCCTTCTCATCACAGCACTTAGGGAAAGGGAGTCAAGAAAGAGAAGATGGCTTCCCTCTCCCGGCAGAGGGGGCCATCAGCACTGTGGTCCTCGCCCATCGGCACCGGCCTCGGCTCTGTGACCAGAGATCTGCAGGATATCAACGAGCCCCATGCAAAAAATATTTTCCATTCCAGGGCTGTTACATACCTTGAATTCCTCCCAACAGTCCTCTGAGCTAGGGTTTTGTTAAAGTGCAAACACTTTAATAAAAGGGAAGGCATCTGGAGTCATTATCTCCTATTGACACTGCAGCCCTTTTGCTCTATGAATGACCCAGTCCAGCCCTAAGACTGCTGGGATGGCCCTGGGACCAATTATTTCAGAAAGAGGAGAAAAATTAGGAGAGTGAACTGTAATTTAGGATTCCACCCAAGGGCCCAGGGCCAAACGAGGGCCTGGAGTGAGTTGCGGCTTCATGAATGGAGTGTGAGGGGGAGGTGGCGGAGTGCTGAAAGCAGCAGAGAAGAGATTTTCCTACTTCAGCATTTTGCCAGACACCTGTGTGGTGGGGCGTGAGAAGACGAGCTTGGGACCAGGCAGGGCAGGGACGGCCAGCCACTAGCTGGGGGTCCCTAGGTCCCCAGGGAAACCACTCGCGCTTTCTGGATCTCCTCCCATTGACCACGAGTCGGGGATTTCAATGCTTCCCTCCAAGGGTCGTGGACAGGAGCCAGTATCTGTCCACCGTGCACGAGGACGGCCCCTCGTGAGCCGCGCCGCCCCCTCCGGGAATTCTGGGCGCTGGGGACGGGCAGGGACCACGGGTGCCCGCCTCCCTCCGGCCCCCCAAACCCTGGGGGCGGACACATGTGGATGGAAGGCCCTCGTGGAGACGACTGCTATGACTGGTTTGCTGACGAGACGCCCTCGGGGTTCCAGGAGGCACCAGATGGTTAGTCCAGAAACTCCAGACACGGGCGGCCCTGGGAAGGCCAACTCCCCAGTGCGGAGTCCCCCTGAGGCCGACTGGACCTTTCATGAGTGAACACATGAGCTACACCACGACAATGGGAAACAGAACCCCGAACACAAGAAGTGGCATCGGGGGCCGTGGAGGGTCCACTCAGTTCGTCACCCGCAAAGCCCCTTCACAACTCTCGGGAAATAAAATAGAACCTGGGTGATGAAATAAGAGTCTGACCTTGTTTCCCCTGTGCTGAGTCTAGTTGGCCCACTACCCAGGCACCGCGTGGAGAGACCTCGTGCCACACACCTCCGATCAGGAAGCCTGGTGCAAAACGGCGGCCCTACACCTCAGCTCAGGGCCGTGTGCAGAAGCTCCGCCTCCAACACGCAGTTGAAGATGGAGGGGCGGGCCATGTGCAGAGATGCTCCGCCCCCTGTGCCGTGATCTGGCATGGGAGCTGCAGCTGCGCCTGCGCAGTAGGTGAGCACCCCTCCCCCGCTGCCTGCAATTGGATCCCTACAGAGCAGCCCCACCCATGGCCTGACCCAAGAGCACGTGCTGTAGAGCCTCCTTCTATTGGTAGGAGGAGCCTTGTTAGGGCCAGACTGAACAGGGTGGGCAATGTGACTCAGGTGGAATGTTAGAAGTGATGTGGGAAGTTTTCTTCCACAGGAGAGACGAGGATGTCCCCAGAGGAGCTCAACCCTGAGAAACCAAGCTGCATCCACGGTCAATGTGGCAAAGTTCTATTGTCTGAGAACCCTCCAGAGTGGGCTTTTTAGCCCAGGGGGAGGTAAGAGAAGCCCCCGCCCAGCAGCAGCCTGGTACACATGGGTGGGAGCCGGGCAGCCCAACAGTTCATCGGGCCAAACCGAGAAGTTAATCTGAAAGCAAACCGAGCCTCAACAGATAACAACCCAAGAACGAAAGAACTCTGGCCATCCAGAAGCCAAACCACAGGGAGAGGAGCCAAGGCCAAAGCCACCCCGAGATCAGAAGGCCAAGGTCTCCCCAAAGAGAAGCAGGACAAGGGCATACGGGAGTGACTCTGAACGCCACAGGCCAGGGACCCACACCTGTAGCTCCTAGCGGAGTCACACTAGATGCTTCTTAACTGGCATTCTTAAACCTCTTGCACCTGCAGAGTGGGATAAAACATCCTTCTGGTGGCAACAGCACACCTGCTACCTGCAGACGGGCGAGCAAGAGCTCTGCTGTTCCCACAGGTGACCTCTGTATCCAGGGAGCACACCTTATGAGCATCTTGCCATCCTGGAAGTGATTTTGTTGGTATGGATTCATATTTTTAAAAATAAAAATGGCTCTGCACCTGATGCTCAATATCACAGCTCCTCCCCTCCTACCCCACCCCCAGCAGTCAGTTACGACACAGGAGGCGGAACCAGCTCTTGTGTTACTGAGAGGGTTTCTCAATGTAATCGTGGGGTGATATAAGGATTTTAAAGACTAATTTGAACTATAAATTTTACCCCAGGTACTGACCAGACAACCTAAAATTCACTATATTTGGTTCCTGTGATTGCAGGGAGTAGGAGAAGATCCCAAAAGTTAAAAAACACAGTCACACCTGCAACAGGGACATAAATCTACCAAGAGCTACATGGAATCTGTAGGGTTTAGGGGAACAAAGTCTATCAAATTCAAAGAATGGTTACTACCCTCCAAAGACAGGACAGTCTTTTCAACAAACGGTGTTGGGAAAACTGGGTATTCACCTGCAGAAGAGAGAAGTTGGACCCTTACATTATACGCTATACAAAAATAACCCCAACTGGGTCAAAGACTGAAACTTAAGAACTAAAAGTATTAAACTTGTAGAGGAAAACATAGGGAGAAGCTTCATTACATTGCATTTGGCAGTGATTTCTCAGATATGGCAACAACAACAACAAAAATAAATTGAACTTCATGAAAATTAAAAACTTTGTGCATTAAGCGACACTATCAACAGAATGAAAGGCAGCTCACAGAATGGGAGAAAGTATTTGCAAATCATCTATCTGTCCATCTATCTATCTAAAATATGTGAAGACCTTCTACAACTAAAAGACCCAAACAAACAAACCTGATTTAAAAAAATTGAGCAAAGGACTTGAAGGCCGTTTCTCCAAAGATATACAGATGGCCAATAAGCACATAAAAAATGCTCAGCATGATGAGCCATCAGGGAAATGCAAATCAAACCACAGTGAGATGCCACTTCACACTCCCCAGGACAGCTACCATTTTTTAAAAGGGGTGTGTGTAGAACAGAGAAAAGGAAGTGTGGGCAAGGGTGTGGGGAAATTTGAACCCTGGTGCTTTGCTGCAAGAATGTAACATGCAGCCCCTGTGCAAAACACTGCAACAGGTCCTAAAGATATTAAACGCATAATTACTGGAGTGGGTCACCATTCCCTTCTCCCAAGGGATCTTCCTGATACAGGGATCAAACCCTGGTCTCCTTCATTGCAGGCAGATTCTTTACCATCTGAGTCACAGGGAAGCCCATGATTACCACACAATCCAGCAATTCCACTTCTGGTTTATATTCAAAAGAATTGAAAAGAGGGACTCAAAAAGATATTTGGACACCAATGATCATAGCAGCATTACAGTATTCCCAATAGCCAAAAGTTAGAAACAACCTAAGTGTCCATGGAGAGATGAGTGGATAAAGAAAACGAGGTGTAAACATGCCATAGTGTTCAGGTATGACATTCTGATACAGACTACAGTGTGGATGAACTTTGGGGTTCATCGTTGAGGACAATATGCTCAGTGAATAAAGCCAGACACAAAAGGATAAATATATGAATCTGCTTAACTGAGGTACCCAGAGTCGTCAAACTCATGGATACAGACAAGAGAAAGGTGGCTACCAAGGGCTGGGGAGGGGATTGTTGTTGCTGTTTAATCGCTAAGTTGTGCCCAACTCTTTTTGCAATCCCATGGACTGTAGCCTCCCTGCCAGGCTCTTCTGTCCATGGAATTGCCCAGGCAAGAATACTGGAGTGGGTTGCTATTCCTCTTCCAGGGCATCTTCCTGACCCAGGGATCGAACCTGCATCTCCTGCACTGGCAGGTGGATTCTTTATACTGAGCCACCAGGGAAGCGATGGGGGGGACAGAAAGTTAGTATTTAACAGAGAGAATTTTCCTGTCTGAGAAGATGAGGAAGTTCTAGAGGTGGATGTGGGATGATGTTTGTGTAGTAATATGAATGTACTTAATGCCATTGAACTATCTACTTAAAAGTGATTAAGATAGTACATTTTATGTAAATATATATTTTACCACAATAATAAAAAAGGAATTGTACCATGTAATCAATAGGCCTCCCCGCACTTCCCCAGGAATTCTCTGATCTCTGAATCCCCTAGGCCTGCAGTGTTCTCCGCCCTGGCCCCAGGCATGGAGTGGAAACCTCACAGGGCTGAACCCAGAGGTGAGGGGCACAGTCCCATCCAGAAGAATCGGGGAAAGCTGAGGCCACAGAGAAGGCTTTTGAAATGGGGCCTTTGAGGCTTTGAGACTTTACTCCGCACCGTGACTTCCCCAGAGAGAAATCTGCTCATCCAGTGGCCCCCCCTCCCACTAGTCTGGTTCTCCCTCAGCTGCTTTTCCCTGTCTGCTGCCTCAGACATGATGTCAAATTAATGTCAGACTGTCAGTCCAATAGTGTGCTCAACTCTTCGTCCGTCCTCTTCTGGGGTCTCTGCTCCTGACTTAGGCTTGTGCGGAAGGATTCTAGCGCAGCCAGACCACGGCTTGGGAAGGCTGTCGGTAGGTGCTCCTCGGCACCCACCTCATCCATCACCCGGGAGGTGCTGGGACTGCATCCTGGCCAGCAGTCCATGGCGCTAATGGCTTCCGGCCTATTAGAGGCGGAAGGATTCCAGCCCGTGCACGGCAGCAGCAAATTACTCATCAACCCCAGTAGGCAGAGATTCTGGGAACGCTCCTCGCAGTTCCCTGAGCGCTCAGGACAGGGCACAGTGGAAGGAGAAGTCTTCTTTCTGGGTCCTCTGACTGCTCTGTCCTGGGCCAGCCGCCTCCTCCTCCCTGGTCCTAAGGAGATGACGCCTCACAGAGAGCTGCCCCATGAGGAGACTTTCTCATCTGCTCCTTGAACGAAACTGTTTGTCCAAACAGTCATCTTTCTGTACCCCAGACTTCCCAGTGCACCCAGAATCACATCGTGTTTCACTCCAGAGTACCTCATAGTCTCCAGGCAGCAAGATCCTGTGGACCATGTTGTATTCACTTATACCCATCTTTTAGCTGTGAGGTGTGCAAATCTTTGTCTCTAGAGCTGTCAAAATCCAAGATCCCCAAAGCAAATGGAGAAGGGGGCAACAGAGGATGAGATGGTTGGATGACATCATCGACTCGATGGATGTGACTTTGAGCAAACTCCGGGAGATAGTGGAAGACAGGGAAGCCTGGCATGCTGCAGTCCATAGGGTTGCAACAAGTCAGACACATGTGAGTGACTGAACAACAACCACCAAAGCAAATGTGGGCAAAGCCTGAAATTTCCCTCCCCTCTGGGCATCAGCTTTTGGGAACCTTAACAGAATTGAACGAGAAAGGGCTGGATTCCACCTATGTCTCAAAGCCAACAGCTTTGAGCTCTGACTCCCCACTTCCATCTGCTGCCAGGTTGGAATCATGCTGGCCCTGCCCCACCTCTCAGGTATAATAATGGGGTTTTGAATGGTTGGATTGTAGCTCCAGGATTAAAGCTGAGCTGAGTAATGTTGCTTCTGTTAAGGCATGCCCGCAATAAAGAGACTGTTCTTCTCTGTAGAAACCAAAGACCAGACAGAGTTCTTTCTGCTTATGGTGAATCCTGTCCTCAGATCAATGCTAAAAGGGAAATAATCCTTTTTTTCTGTTCTTTTAATAGAGTGACCTTCCCACCTCTATAAACTAAGCATTAAAATGACCTCATTGAAATTTGCCATAAATACTGCAATTATTTTTTTTCCAAAATGATCTTGACTATGAGCAAGGTAATACAGCAACAACCACCACCCTCCCCAATGCCAACTAAAAATATTTTGAACAATTTTCTCACTATTCCAGCCCAGGGTCTTTCACCCATCCTATTCGAAAAGCAAAGCAGAACTTTGAAGACTATGAACTCCATGACTCAGACATACCTGGATTCATATCACAGTTCTGGAAATTGCTGTGGGGTGTGGCAGTTATAAACATGTCATCCAAATTTAAACACTTCTCCATCAAGAGTTGAAGTCTGTGTTACCTACTCTTGAATCTAGCTTCTTTGCTTGACCAAAAAAATGCAGATGAAGTATTGGTACCAGTTTCTAGAGCCATGCCCTAAGAAAGTAGCAGCCTGTCTCTGTGCTTGTTTGGTACCAGTCTTGATACCTTTTCTGTGAAGTAGCCACAGAGACGACTTTGGGGCTTGTCATGGCCAGTGAAAAGCCCCAAGAGGAAGTCAAGACAGAGGAGACAATCATGTCGATGTAACGGTAGCAGGGGAGGATAGTTTGGTGTCATGGTTTAAGGCTCAGAGGCATAACCACTTTAATAAAAGCCTAGTGTGAATGACAGGGTTTGTCCATGAAACAGATCTGATTCTGATTTGATGGGCAGTCGATCAATGAAACAGACACACCTGCACAGCTGTAAATGGACGATGAAGATAATGCTGGTGTGTCCTGGCAGCAGACAGGAAGTGTCTACTAAAGAGAGGACCTGCAGCTTTACTGCAGAACCAAGGCGTCACTCTCCATTAGAAAACCACGGTTTGGTTCCATAGCATACTGACTGTTGCAATCTAGTTTCTCTAGTCTTTCATTTCCCTTCCCCCACTCCTTTGTTCTACATGAAGTAAATGGAGTATATGCACAAGCTAATTGATTTTTTTTTAACTAATTGGTCAATGGTATATTTTGATCAATATCAAAAGGAATGGGGTGGGGGGACCACTGCTTCTGTGAAAATTGCCCCTTTCTCCATAATTGGTATGCTCATTCAGCTCTTCTGATGCTAGGAAAGATTGAAAGCAGGAGGAGAAGGGGACAACAGATAATGAGATGGTAGGATGGCATCACTGACTCAATGGAAATGAGTTTGAGCAAGCTCTGGGAGATGGTGACGGACAGGGAAGCCTGGCATGAGGACAGGGAAGCCTGGCGTGCTGCAGTCCACGGGGCTGCAAAGAGTTGGACATGACTGAGCAACCGAACAACACCAACAGGCCAGTAAGTTCTTTTGTTTTCCCTGTTTCACAAAACAAAAACAAAAAGAAAATCATTGCATACGTTGTTTGCTTGGAGAATTTTAACGTTTTTCATTCTCATTGTAAAACCAAGAGCTATATATATATATATATTTTGTATATAGCTGTTACAGGTAGAGAGCTCTGTCATTAAGTCGGGACAAATTACTTCAGAAGAAATGAATCCTAGGTAGTTTTTTCCTTCAAGTAAAGCTTCTTGTTTAAATGCACTTCTTGGATTTTTAAAAAATGCTTTTATACTTCCGCTTCTCAGCTCGAGTGTAATTAACAGGAAAATGGAAAGTTGCTCATGATGCTGTCTTCAGATCTCTGTTAAATAACCTTATTTTAAGGAAAACTAAGGCAGAAAGCCTTCCCCAGATGCTCTTCTTGGGAAGAATTCTACTCCTTGGGCTATTTCTGAACATGCTTTCAGCAAAAAGATTTCAGTCACAGCATTTGTGAATTTTGAGTTTCTTCTTTGCTGGGAATAATTAGAAGCAGCATGAAATGGAGTTCAGAAATAGAAAAGAAAGCTGATGTGAAGAAAGAGTAGCAGGAATTCTGAAGCCTTAGGAAGAATGAAGTGAGCTGGGAAAGGCCTCTTGTACCTCTGACAGTGCCTGCCTGAGAGGAGATGACACTCACGGGGACTCAAGTGACCCCTGGGCACAGCCAGGCTGCGCTGAAGTCACCCCACCAGAGCAGAACCGAGGGGTTTTCTCTTCTCAGTAACAGAAAATTACAATACAGGGATTTCCCTGGGGGTCCAGTGGCTAAGACTCCAAGGTCCCAATGCAGGGGGCCCAGGTTCAATCCCTGGTTAGGGAACTAGACCCCAGATGCTACAACTAAAAATCCCATGGGCCACAACAGAGACAGAAGATCCCAAGTGCTAAGACCTGATGCAAGCAAATAAGTTAATTAAATAAATAAGAGTTTTTAAAAATTACAAGCACACAAAATAAAAAAGAATTAAGTATTTGTCATAATGAACATATACAAAGAAATCCTATGGGCCCCCACACCCCAGTTTCAGCAATTCAACAATCATCTACTCATGGCCAAACTTGTGTCTTCTATAAACTAACTAATCTCCTACCCCAACCCCAGATTCTTTGGAAGCAAACTCCAAACATTGTATGATTTCACCCATAAACTTTGTTTCTTAATAGAGAAGTTTATTGATATTTCTTCATGAAGTAGTAAACAGAACTAAGAAATATACAGCCTAAAACAAAGTGACCCTAAAATTTTTGTGGCAATTATACATTTATAGCCAAAATAAAAATGAACAGTTTTTAATGATTAAATAACTTAAAATTTTTTGCTCCATAATTTATCTGAAATTAAGCCAATATGAGGCTAATTGGGAGAATGTCACTTTATCTTTCTCCAAAGAGATTGTCATCCCAGTAAAACAGTGGTTTGGTTCTGTAAGATTCCACAATTTTTTTTTTCACAGCATGAAGGGAAAGAAGAAGAAAATAGAGTGTTACCATGTTAGTCACTTAGCCATGTCTGATTCTTTGCAACCTCATGGACTGTAGCCCACAAGGCTCCTCTGTCCATGGAATTTTCCAGGCAAGAATACTGGAGTGGGTTGCCATTTTCTCCTCCAGGGGATCTTCCCGACCCAGGGATCGAACCCAGGTCTCCTGCATCACAGACAAGTTCTTTACCGTCTGAGCCACAGGAAAATAGCAGAGCTGACAATCAAAGAATTGGATTCTGCTGACCCTGGAACAGGGAGACAAGCTGACTTGGACCCATCCTGATCTAGAGTTCACGGATCCCACTGGGAAGTGAGTGATTCAGCCCAGGGCAAGATGGCCAGCAGGTGAGATGCTCTGAGGAAAGCGTGTGCCCAGCTCATGCCACAGCTGACAGTTGAGAGGTCTAAAGGCTCTCGTTGCATCAGAGAGCAGGTGCTGCAGATGGCTGGGCTCTTTCCAATACAGGGAAAGTTGGCCACGTGAGTCTGAACAGCTCCTTAGACAAGAGGAATGTATGGGTCACAACCGTGTGTGTTCCCTTCTGTCCTGGCAGAATTGCCAGAACAGTTACTCACTTCCTCCCAGCAGGATCCGAGGATTGTTGATCAGGATGGGTGCAAGTCAGCTTGTCTCCATGCTCCAGGGTCGGCAGAATCTGATCCTTTGATTGTCAGCTCTGCTATTTTCCAGTGGCTCAGACAGTAAAGAACTATTCTGTGATGCAGGAGACCTGGGTTCAATCCCTGGGTTTGGAAGATCCCCTGCAGGAGGAAATGGCAACCCACTCCAGGAACTAAACAATTCCTTGGAAGCAATTCCTGCTCTAAGCTGTTCACTAGCTCACAAGCCAGGTCAATGGGCTGCTGTCTGCTCAACTCACAGCTCTATTGGTGTCTTACCTCCAGTTGGCATTTGTTTTTGTTTGTTAGTTTTTAAGATTTTTTTTTTTTTCTGATGTGGGCCATTTTAAAAGTCTTTGTTGGATTTGTTAGGGCTTCTCTTGTGGCCCAGCTGGTAAAGAATCTGCCTGCAATGTGGGAAACCTGGATTTGATCCCTGGGTTGGGAAGATCCCCTGGAGAAGGGAAAGCTACCCGCTCCAGTATTCTGGCCTGGAAAATTCCATGGACTGTATAGTCCATGAGGCCGAAAAAAGTCGGACACAACTAAGCATTTTTTCTTGGTTCGTTTTTAAGATTTTTTTTTTTAATGTGGGCCATTTTTAAAGTCTTTATTGAATTTGTTACAATACTGCTTCTGTTCTATGTTTTGGTTTTTTGGCTTCAAGGCATGTGTGATCTTAGCTCCCCAACCCAGGATTGAACCTGAACCCTCCTGGATGGGAAGGCAAAAGTCTTAACTACTAGACCACCAGGGAAGTC